GTGCGTGCGTGCGTGCATACGTGTATGTGGGCGTGCATGTCCAATTTATGTTAAACATCCAATGTGCTGCACCAATGTATGTAATTGCCGAACCATATGTTAAAATATGTGGATGTATGGGCCAAAGGCCTTTCAAATCAATAAATCATTTTGAATCTTTGAAAAAAAAATAAAAAATCTCTCTCTCTCTCTCTGTCTTTCTCTCACTCTCCTTCTTTTACTCTCACTCTCTCTCTCTATCTCTCACACATATACACAAAACCCTAATCTTTTGCCTGGTAAAAAAAATTTCAGAAACCAGTTTCTTGGTTGAAACATGACACCATCAATATCAGTGCAGCAAGATTTGTGATATAGATATAATGTGGTCGCTTTTAAGCACAAGGGGGCTATCACGAAAAATGCTGTTTTGAGAAAATCGAAGGTAAAGTTTTTGCCCCTTGTTCAGTTTCTTTAAAAGAAATATACACACCAATTAAACCAAACTTCTATAGGTAGGGCAATGCCTACTTTTGGTGTTAGTCAAGATTTCTGGAAACCCCAGAAATCTGGGTTAGCCTGCTTGTCCTTAAAAGCGACCATGTAAAGAGTGCTGACAGAATGAGTTCTTTCTCAGATTTTTACCCTATGCAAATAGATGCATCAAATTTATAGGTTGAGTTTGTACAATTTCTTAAGTATAAAATAATAAAAGACGTGTTAAACTTGAAAAAAGTCGTATCAGTTGAGAATCTACAAATTTGACCAGTGTATCGATTTTTGGCCAGTACCTCGATTCAAGGATTGGGAAAAATATTTCCTATTGTCAGCACGTGTCACATTTGTCTAGTCATACTGTTTGGTACCTTCTATAGCTTGAGAGTCTTTAAAAACTGAACATTTAAATATTTTGTTCCTTTAATGAAGGTTTTTCTGTAAGTTTCACATGGAAATGTATTTTTTATACGGACATAAAACATGTTGAGCCAAAAAACAAAAATTCGACAAAAGTTGCCAGACTGGAGGAAAAATGCCTGTTTCTTCGATTCCATTATTTTGACGAGCACCTGATTTCACCATGATGCCTCACATTTGAACAAATGAATCCTTTCGTTGCTCCTCAGGATTCAGAACGCCTTTTCCCCGGAGAGCCATGTGTTTGTCTTGGTCCTGCTTGCGTCCATTTCTTCACCACTTCACGGTTAGTACGGCCAAATTGTCATTTTGCATTATTTTATTTTTATCTTTGTAACGTTTTGTTGGGTTTATTTTTTTTTTACTTTGGAATGTTTTGTTGGGTTTATTTTTTCTCTGTGTGTACATAGTGGGTAGTTGGTGGCCATGCTAGTTTAGTGCCCTCTTCTTCTTCTGTCTTTTTAGAGTTCATGTTTTGTCGAAATAAGTTCCTTCTGAAATGTGGCCGTTATATTGATTTAGCGTAACTCTTTAAACCCTGAGTTTTTTCCACTGTTTCCCGGAGTTTTTCTCTACAGTCACCTAAACCTGGCGCACTATGTCTCGTTATAACCCCAAAAACTTGCCTCCGACTTCTAAATGGCGGAAACAAAGGCTTAGTCATTACTAAAAAAAACTTGGTTCGGGAATATTTCTTAAAAACAAGCAAAATCTAGCAATAAATTAAATGAAACAGTTGTCACTAGTACTGGACGCTCCCAGCGTCGGATGGGGAACAAGGTTATTACCACCGGACGTTCCCAGTGTCCGATGGGGTTGAAAGAGTTAAACGGTCACCTCCCATTTCCCTCCTGGTGGTTTTTTTTACATTAAGATAAACTTTGTCAGACGGCCACTTGTTCAAGATTACCATTTTTCTTCTCGACAGTGGGTGGCCTTCTTAGACACTTCAACCACATTTGTAGGAAGTTCAATTTTGAAGATTATTATGTTAATGTGACAATAATTTTTTTAATCAGTTGAAACAGTTTTCTTAAGATCAGGTGTGAGTGGCTGGGGGGACTCCACTAGTAAGTCTGTATGTCGTTTCTTTTGTCCCCGCGGTTTTATGCCAAAAAGATTCTGAAATTCTCCAAACTGAGCCCCAAAATGTGAAATTATGCGATTCTGTTAATTCTAACAAAGAACGATAAAGGAAAATAATTAGAAATTGTCCAAAAAATGATCAAATTTTGCTAAATTATGCGGGGTGCATAAAACCATAGGGACAGTTTTTTTCCTTCTTTTATTTCTGTCTGGCTTTTCCCCCGCATTGAATGATGGTTATTTGAGTCGATGTGCATCTCTTGACTCAAACAAACAATGTGTGAGTGTGTATGTGTGTGTGTGTGTGTGTGTGTCCCCTCGCGGATCAAAATGATTATTCATTTAGAATTATCAGGCCTTCCAGTGTGTTATTTTGTGAAGTGGTGTGAGCCTTCAGGATGATTATTGTGACTTTAAATAAAAGTATTTTAAACTTTTTTACCATTCCACGTTCCCTCTTGTGTTTCTCCCTGTGTGTGCTCAGGTGCCCTGAACGCCATCGCATTTGGCCTGGACAGGGAGACTCTCACCAAACTCCGGCCCAACGAGATTCGGGTGAGTACGCTATAAATGGTCTTTGAGTACGCTATAAATGGTCTTTGAGTACTCTTATGGTCTTTGAGTACGCTATAAATGGTCTTTGAGTACACTTACTATGTCTTTGAGTACACTTACTATGTCTTTGAGTACACTTATGGTCTGGTGTGGTTTGCTTCTTCTTTCCTATCAAACATCAATCGTCCTTATCTCTCCTTTTTTTTGTGTGTTTGTTACTCTCTTGTAACACCTCTAATCTTCAGCACTTATATGACCTTATTGTGTTGCAAGTGCTGTAAAACTCTTACTAAACCTAAGCTAAAGGGGAGATTTCTTTTCTTTCCAACATTGTTGCTTTTACGCCGTTGGTTGGAGGGTGCCGCTGGTGGGACACTTTTCTTTTCTTTCCCTCTGTCTTACGTTTTTCCTTGTACCAAATGATCATTATTTTGTTGACCCGGTGGTGTCGCGTGGGTTGCAGACAAGGTGGTGCATAATTGGAAAGGGAGGAAATGGGCGATAGGCTTAATAGCTACTATTTAAGATTTATAGAGAAAAACAATTAAAATCTTCAGGATATCCCGTAATCTACATCTATCACAGCGGTTATAGAGCGCCCATTTAGTTTTGGCTGGCGCGAGGCAAGCAAGCCCGCGCTTCCCCAGGTCAGGGGGTCATTTACCTGCGCCGCCGGGGATTTCCCTAATCAGCCGAACACCGGCAGCGCTCTTGTATTTTTTGCAAAGTTTACCAGCACAGTGAGCCAAAGCTAATGTAAGATGAATATTTTAATAAAGACCACGTAAATATTCAACGTATTAAGGAAGAAAATGAAGAAATCGGAAGAACATGGTACATTACACTTAAAAGCTGTGAAGTTCTCAAAAAGGGGACTTAATTTGATAAATGTGTCATGGGTAATCAATTATAAACATCGATTTAAATATGATTGCCCCCAACGAATTCAATCAAATTTGCACACAGGACTGAGAACATAATGAAATTTGTACTGACAAAGGGGCATATGCACGAAGTTTCTGGATCCGTAATTATTCAGGTTTGAAGTTGATTTTTGCAATACTCTTGCTTTGCGACCTTGTTTTTTCATAGCGATATCCACGATACATGTAACTACAGAACAGATCTTTTCTTGCCGATACACTTATGAAAACACAACCTAAACACAAAATACAAAAAGAACACAATATTGCTGGACTGGAGGAATTATCTCATTTTTCCGCTGTAAGCTTTCGTCTTTTGATGGGTGGTGCACACGACAGAGTAGCTCAGGGTGGGTTGGACGTGTTGTGACTGCATCATTGTTTTGACGTGTTTTTCTTTGTCTGTTAGGCCCACGGTTGCATGAATGAGCTCACTCCCTTGCTCACAATGGAAGGCCATTCCAAACCCACATTTTTGTATCCAAGGAACGCAGTGTTTCTCAAGGATGTGTTGTTTGGGGATGACCTTTTCTTTTGATCGATTTTGATTGAGTAGCACGTGTTTTACGGCACTATCGACTCAAGACCTTTTATTTGCCAAATATGTTTCTGTATAAAGACATATATCGTGTGATGCATGACTGAATATGTGGTATTCTCTCTAAAGTGATTGGCTTTCCATGTGCAATTACTGTGTGGATATCTTTGAAGGTGTCTTTTACGTGAACAAATTTCTCTCTCAGAACAATTAATGCGGTGTCTATTATGCTTTGATTTCGTGTACATGCAACTGTTCCTTTTGCTAAAAATGATGCTAGCTGTCTGTACACATGGGCTGTGATGTATTTTTGGCAGTGGCTTCCTATAAATGAACGGCTGTGGTAGGCCTGTGGTGTGAGGTTGTGTTGTTTGAGGATGTTATCAAATTCAGAGCAGGCAGGACTTGACCTTGGAATAAGCTCCCCAAACTCTAACTCTGACAGCTGATCATGTACACTAGAACCCTTCCTCTCAAATCTCTCTGCTTCTCGTGGATTATCCGACAAAATCTGACAGCCCTGTAACAATTGAATGTCCTCGTTTTTTTCCAGCCCTCTTTCATTTTTTGCCGTAGATATGCACATTTTGTCCTATTCCAGGCGTGCAATTCTCCATAGATTGATGGGCCAGCTGTACATCTATATCATGTGCAGCCTCCTCAAGAAGGCGATGATGTTTGAGCACAATGCCCACCATATGATCATGTTGAGTGTGGCTCTCCATGACAAAAATATTGTTAAAATTGACAACGAAATTCAGATGTAGTAGAGGCAAGAAAACTAAAAACAGCAAGGATGAATGTTCAGAGTGGTGGGTTGGTATTTTTAAAAAATCACAGAAAATCATAGAATAACTTCGTGCATTTGAAACTTGCACATGTAAATGAAAATTGTCCCCACAGTTGATACATGAATTTCTGTTTAAATCGTTGGGGGCCGGATTGATATATCTAAATCCAAACTGAAAAAGTTCTAAACATTGAAGATGCCAGTTTGAAAATCACAGACTTACTTAAATCCCTTGTAAAACTGATATAATCGGACTTACAAGAAAACAAGTTATACCGGCCTACAGGTCAAACATAGCACGTTACAATGAAATCTCAATCGGCCTTGTAGCATTTATAGTTTCAGAGTTAGGAGACTTTCAATTCGCACTAAAACGCCATATTTACTACTGCCCCGGCACAGGAGGAGTGACGCTGCGGTCACCCCAATTAACCCCTCTGACAAGTGATTTATGACTACGCGCTGGGCTGTCGGGCGGGGCGGGCAGGGTGGTGAGGATGGTCGGGGAGGAACTGGGGAAGGAAAACTAAGTGAGCGGTCTGGACGGTATTTTATCCGCTGTGCTATCGATATTTGCAACTGTCTCTAGACGAAGCCGCATAAAAGCTGCAATAAAGTGAAACAATACTAACGACTCGACTATGCTCACAATCTGGGAAGATTTAAAGATTTCTTATTACTTCGTGCAGCACCGGGACTTGCTACACAATAGAGGGAGACAACAGTTTCGATACCCATTCTTCGTTGAGTAACCGTAGACTCTACTAGTGTAGTAGATAGGCTAGTGGAAACTTGGATCAAATTTTTAGCTTGCTCCAATTTGGTGCTGCGAAGAGCTGTTCATGCACCTTTCTTCTTGTGCGGGAAGAACGATGCCTAGATTTCTCTACAGTGACAAAAATAACTTTGGTGCAAAGATTTTGCTTGCTCCCAGCAGACACTACCTCAAGCGGTGCGACGAGCATAAACCATTCTGCCTATCTGTCTCTTCACTGGTGCATCCAGCGGGCGATGGATCGCAAGGATGTAGTAGGCCTAATGTAGATCTAGAGCACTGACTGGTTTAGAACAATTAGAAGGGGGGGGGGGGGGGCTGTGTGAAGGCCTGGGTTCGGTGGAGCGTTTTCACCAATTGCACCAAATGGTACCCCGCCTCTGTGTTGACCGCCTCTTTTTGCTCTGAATTCAGAATTCAGTCAGGTTTGTAACTTTAGTTTGTATCTGTCAAGGGGCAAGGCCTATTGTTAGAATGCAGTTGGTTAGAGGGGGGCCACTGGTAGGTCCTACTTCTTTTCTTTCCTTCTTTTGTTTCTTTACTGTGCTTCTCTTTACTCAAGCTCTATTGTAACATCATAAGTTAGACTGCAGTTGTGGGTGGTTGGCGGGTGCTCTGGTGTGGTTTGCTTCTTATTTCCAATCAAACATCTATCGTCCTTATCTCCCCTTCTTCTTTTTTATGTTTGTTACTCTCTTGTAACACCTCTAATCTTCTGGCACTCATATGACCTTATGCAGTTGCGAGCGCCGTAAAACCTCTACTAAAACTAAAAAAGACTACAGTTGAGATGATTGTGGCACAGATCTCTCGCTTGGATGGTTTAGAATCTAGGCCATGCGTAAAGGTCTCTCGCTAGGATTGTCTAGAATCTAGGCCATGCGTAAAGGTCTCTCGCTAGGATTGTCTAGAATCTAGGCCATGCGCAAAGATCTCTCGCTAGGATTGTCTAGAATCTAGGCCATGTGCAAAGATCTCTCGCTAGGATTGTCTAGAATCTAGGCCATGTGCAAAGATCTCTCGCTAGGATTGTCTAGAATCTAGGCCATGTGCAAAGATCTCTCGCTAGGATTGTCTAGAATCTAGGCCATGTGCAAAGATCTCTCGCTAGGATTGTCTAGAATCTAGGCCATGTGCAAAGATCTCTCGCTAGGATTGTCTAGAATCTAGGCCATGCGTAAAGGTCTCTCGCTAGGATTGTCTAGAATCTAGGCCATGCGTAAAGGTCTCTCGCTAGGATGGTCTAGAATCTAGGCCATGCGTAAAGGTCTCTCGCTAGGATTGTCTAGAATCTAGGCCATGCGTAAAGGTCTCTCGCTAGGATTGTCTAGAATCTAGGCCATGCGCAAAGATCTCTCGCTAGGATTGTCTAGAATCTAGGCCATGTGCAAAGATCTCTCGCTAGGATTGTCTAGAATCTAGGCCATGTGCAAAGATCTCTCGCTAGGATGGTCTAGAATCTAGGCCATGTGCAAAGATCTCTCGCTAGGATTGTCTAGAATCTAGGCCATGTGCAAAGATCTCTCGCTAGGATTGTCTAGAATCTAGGCCATGTGTAAAGCTAATACTAGGATTAAATCAGCGGTCCCGTCCTTTGTTGGAGGAAGAGATATACCAGGACCATTCTGGGGCTCGGACTTTTTGTTTGGGTTATCGTCGTTGCACACACAAAAACACAAATTTCATACCTGAGCATCTAAGATTAGTTTTATCGGGTATCCCTGTCCGTCCGTTTGCTGGGAAAACTGTATCCCACCTAGCCCAGGTTGATACTGACATACAAGATGGAAGCTGCCATCTTTCTGAATGATTGTAAATTATGTGATTAGGACATAAAATGTTTACAGTACGAATAAGAATCAACACATAAGCCTCAGCCATAAATTACTACAACTAATAATAATACTAACACTAACTATTGCGTTCATATAGCCGCTCTTCAACATGCTCTTTGTGCTTTACGCTTGTTTCTGT